GGGCGGGAGGGACGGCGGCACGCGAGTTGCGGCGTCGTCGTCGTCAGGGAGGGTGTCGAAGAAGTAGGCGTCGCGTAGGGCGTGGTAGACCGCCGCGCTCGCGAGGGAGCGCATCGCCGCGTCGAAGAGCTGGAGGGCCTCTTTCTCGCCCATGAGATCCTTTGCGCGTTTGGAGGGGTCGGGATTCGCCCGCGGCGCCGCGTTCAGGATTTCCAACAGACGAAGAAAGCGCCCGCAGAAGGCGGCGGTTTGCGTGCTCAGCGTCGGACTGGTGTGGCTCTTGGAAAGCGCCACAATCGTGAAATAGAGCGAATCCCGCGTCAGAAATCGACGAATGGGCGTGGGGGTTTGTTGGATAGGGAATTCCTTTTCGTGGGCCGGCGGCGCGTCTTCAGAGCCCGCCGCTTCGGTCGGATGGAGCGGCTTTTCGAACAGACACCGCACCAGCTCCACCCCGTTGATGATATCGGCGTTGAGATAAAGTCGGAGCGTCGTTCGCAGCACCGCACCGTGTAAACCCCACAACTCGGAAAGGGTGGTGGTTGATTCTCTGTCGTCCGTCTGTTCGAGCTTCCCTACGTCACTTTCGTGCTTCTGCGGAACCGACGACGAGACCAGGGACGGTGATGGGTCGGAATGGTGAGAAATCCCTTGCACGAAGTCGTAAACGCTGCCACTTTGCGTACTCCACGCCGCGCAGGCCAGCCGCTGCTCGATCGACATCGCGGCTAAAATGCTATCAAAGGCATTCCCGATTTGCGAAATCAGGCGCTTCGCCGCCCGAACGCCATGGTCGCCATACACGCGATTCTGAGGAATCGCGAGCGTCTTCTCCGACTCTTTCTGCGCGCAGGCCTCGAGATGCTCGTTAAACCACCGCGAAAGCGGCGCCCAATGGCGAAGAAGATGCAAAACTAAGGGATTCTCGCCGCTCGGGTCGGCCTGCAGGGCAGGGACGCCGATCATCTGCACGACGCTCAGGTCGAGGAAAAACGGAAGGAAATAGCGCGTCAAAAGCAGCAAAACCGACCCGGCGTGATCGCTCGTGAGGAGCAGCCCCATGAGCGACGCGGCCTCGTGGGAGGCGAGCAAATAGGGAAAAAGAGCGGGCAGCCGGCCCTGCGCGACGTCCGCCCCTCGTTTTCCATCCTTTGCGTTCGCTTCGTGGCTGTGGGTGTCGTCGTCGTCGTCGTCTTTGTCGTGCGGGGACTCCCCCAACGCGGCGTGCTCGGTTCGCGCCGTCAGCAAAGCCCAATCCCGCGATGGCGCCTGTGGGGCGATTAACAGCAATTCGATGAGCTCCGCCCGTGCCGTGTGCAATTCCTCCGCGGCGGCGGTGGCGTTTGGAGGACCGGGAATTGGACTATTTGCCGAGGCGAACAACCACGCAATGCGCTCGCGCTCCTCCGTGAGAAAGTCCAGCAGCGCCCTAATTTCGCGGGTCGGGGGCGGCACCCACGCGGAGGTCGGAACCTGCTGGAGCGGCGATGGGATGGGCGCGGCAAGCACCTCGTTCTCGTGCTCGTTTTCGCTCGGTTCGTGAATGGCCCGGTCGTCCTTTGGGGGAGGAGTCCAAGAAGAGGAAAAGGCCGCCCGCACGCGGTCGCGTATCGCCGAGACCAGGCGACGCGCGTCGTCCGGGGGGAGCCCCGGGGGCTGTGGGCGATCCAAGGGGAATCCCCGATGATCCGTGGCGTTCGGCCCCGGAAGCGCGGAAAGCGCGAGGGACAAGGCGGTATCGCTCGCGGCCGAGGCATAGCCCAACGGCGCATAAAACCCCGCCTGCTCCATCGACTCCGGCGGGGGTTGGGGTGGATAGGCCATTCCTTCGATCCCGGCGCCGGAAGCCGGGGCCCCGGGCGGCGTGGGAAGCAAACTCGACGAAGCCATATCCCCCACGTGGGCGGCCTGCATCACGCCGTGCGGGGTATCGGCCCCTTGTGGAAGGACATAATTGTAGGAATGATAATAATGATCCGCCGTGGGGGTTGTTGGGTAGTTCGCGATGCCGCCGACGTCGTTCGCGGCCCCGGCTTGCGGCGCAGTTCCCGTCAGGGTCGTCGGGGCGGACGCCAGGGTGGTGGACGAGGGGTAATAATAATGGTACTTCCCCCCTTCCGCCATCTCCAGCGGGGTCGTCCCGTGGTACGAATGATCCACGTCATAGCCGCCATAGGGATGGGTGGCGTGGTATTTATAATCGCCCGGTTTCAGCGCGTCGGGGTGGCTGCCGGTCGCCATCATCCACGGGGCAATCATCGGCCGGGGCGGAAGATACACCCCTTCGGGCAAAAGCCCGTTGTCGATTCCGTCCTTGTTGGTTAACCGACTTCCCTCCTCCCCGCCGCCTTCCAGGGGGGGGTATTTCCCAGACCCAAACCCCAGCTCCGACGCGGAGGAGCCCGGGGGCTCCGTCGTCCTATAGGGGATATAGAACCCTCCCGGGTGGATATTCGGCGGGAGTTTGCCGATATTCGGAAGGGGATTCCCTTTTTCCATCGCTTTGGGGTTGCCAAGACTCGCCTCGTCGTCATCTTCCTCGACCAGTGGGGGGAATTCGTGGTAGGGCGGCATGGCCGCCGTGGTGGTCGGGGGATTCGGCCCGCTAAAGGCCCCTTCGGCATAAGGGGGTTCGTCAAGGCCGTCAAGCGGGAGCCCCTCGCGGGGAATTCCGTACGGCAACGCGTTCATGGCCCAGGGCGGGGGGTATTGCGGGTCCATCAACATCATCGGAGGGCCCCCCGGCAAATGCCCCAGCGGCGGACGATAGGAGGAGTGCGAATAGGACGGCGGAGGGAGTAAAGGCGGCTGCTCGAGCCTCGAATAAAGCCCCTCCCCCGGCTCCGCCAGGTCGTGCGCGGGATCGGCTTTGGGGGGTTTATTCAGCGCCTGCAGGAGTTGATCGATTCGGCCCTCCTCGACGTCGTCGACGAAGACAAGGCCTTTGGTCTGTGCATCCGAGGGCGGGTCCGCCGCGCCGAATCCGCGCGGTGCCGCCGGAAAGCGCGGCTGTGGAAAGGACGACGCGGGCAGGGGATTCGTCGTCGGGGCGGATTTGTGCGCGCTCAAGGCGACATCGGCGTCGTCGAAGATGTCCAGCTCCTCCTCCGCGTGCATCGCCCAGGAGGGGAGATGCGTCCCCCCGCTTCCCATCGCGGAGCCCCGGGAGGAGGCGGAGGACAGCGCGTCGTCGTCGTTGTCGTCGTTGTCGTTGTTGGCCGGGTCGTTCTCGCGGAGCTCGTCGTCGTCGTTGTCGTCGTTTTGGCTGCCAGGGTCCTCGCTGAGGCCGTAGTCATTGCCGTGGAGGCTCCCGCGCAGGCGCCGCGTCTGCTCCTTTTCCTTCTCGCGCTTTTGGATATAGTACGGGATGCCCTTTTTGAGAAACTCATGCGGGCACAACGCCATCGTGATGAGCACCCCATAGCGCTCGAAAAGCGCGCTCTGAAAGATAAACGAGCAGAACGGATTCCACAAGAAGGAGTAGACCGTCTCGGGGCGCTTGACCGGGACGTAAAAGACGCCGGGCTCGTAGCCCTCGATGACGTTGATATCCCCGGTCCCGCTTTGGCGGAACGGGTTGAGGAGCTCGGTGAGGTCGGCCTCATTGATTCCCTTTCCGTCGTGCATGCGGAATTTAAAGTCGGTGATCTCGAAGGTGGCGTTGGCGGGGTAGTCGTAGATCGGCGGCCCGAAGCCCGCGGGGTAGCCGACGGCCTGGAGTTGCTCGAGAATCCGCGACGCGAGCCGCGCGTCCTTCGCGAAGGTCACCACGAGCTGCGAAAGCACGCTGCCTTTTTTCACAAACCGCAACGTCGTGATGGCGGTCGAGGCGTTTTGGTAGCGCATCAGCTCAAAGACGTAGGCCACCATCTGCACCGCGTAGGTCGGCGCGGTCATCCCGTCCGGCAACATCCCTTCAAGCAACAACACCAGGCAGGGCGAGGCCTCCGCGCTCTGCACCGCCTCCACCCGCGGCGGGAACAGCCGAAGTTCGTTAATGGAGGCCGGCAAATCGAAGCGGATCTCCCGCCAGGACCGCGGGGGGGTCACGTTGTGGGACTTGATCATCCGGCGGTAATACTGTAGAACCTCGGCCGCGCTCGCGGCCTCGCCTGGGGGGGCGTAGTCGGC